TTGAAATTTTGCAACCGAAAAAAGTGATACCCTATGTAAATTTTCGAATGTAAAATTTTTCACAACTTTTTTGCAAATTTGATTGTGCCCTTAATTTAAAATGTCTACGTTCGTCATTGATTTAGTTGTCCTACAATTGTGTCAATGAATGTGTCAAATTGCAATAGATAATTTATTTCACTTGCATGCCTTCTAACCTAAATTTGACTGCTTGAATGGTAAAATATTTTCATTCTTTATTGTACAAAAATCTGAACTTTCTATGATTTTCAAAATGCAAATTAAAGCTTTTCATAAAGAAATTAAAGTTTCTCATTCTTCTACTCATTTTCAACCACATATTCTTCAATAACATAATATTTTCCATCACATCAATAATTTTTTCTTCTTTTCAACCACACATTTCCCATCATATTACTATTCAAAATCAATTCTTCCTCCAAAAATCTCTCCCAAAAAATTATTGATGTGATGAAAAATATTATAATTTTTTTCATTCTCATTCTTCTACTCATTTTCAACCACACATTCTTCAATAAAATAATATTTTCCATCACATAATAACTTTTCCTTCATTTTTAACCACACATTCTCCATCAATCTACTATTCAATAATATATTTTTTCAAAAGAATGTGTCCCAAACACACTATATATATTGAATATGTTACACCATTCTTTGTCATGAATTTAGACTCAAGTCGGCCACAACTGAGTCTTAGCCCTGCACATACCTGCTAACTATTACAAACTAATTACAACGTTACCGCTACATGGGTGTTGCTGACCACTTTCACGTTCCCTATATATGCCCCAAGATCATCCCACTTTCAGGCGAGGTTAAAAAAAACGCTGTCGAAACTCTATTTTTATCTTTTACCCTGTTTCTATAGTCCTTTAATTTGATCGTCGAAGTGGAAATTGTCGCCCCCTCGATGGCCAGACACAAAAACAGGATTTTGTTTTTGTAGAGAAATTGGTGTTTCTGGAGATTAAATGATCCTACAAGATTTAAAAGTTGATTCAATTTCCATACAATATTTGGAATAATAAATGAGTGTCAAATTGTACCATAGACCATTGCATGCCATCTAACCTAATTTTGTCCACTTGCTTGGTAAAATCTTTAATGCATGTGATAAGATATCTCAACTTCTTTGAATTTATCTTGCAAACACTTTTCAAATTTAATTTTTAATTGAGTAATGTTTTTCGGTCATTGATTGTGAAGGTCACGTATCTAGGTGTGGCGGTGGAGGATTAATTGTGATCTTCACCACTCAAGTGTGACAATAGACGATTAATTGCGATCGTCATCATTTTAGATGGTACTAGACCGTCAACATCATCTAAACTGGTGACGGTTAGTAGCATTGCTCTTTTTTAAAAACAATAAATTCCTCCAAAACCCGCATGCTTGTCCACAATTAACATCACCTTTTCATATCAATATGAGGTCATTTTCACTCATTATCCTCACACTCTCCTCTTCTCTTTGCTTCATGTGTGAGGTCGCAAGTTCCAGCCAGCGAAACCTTCAAATTCACAAAAATGGTGATTTTAAGTCTATAGGATGCAAGATGTCGTGTAATTCGGAATGACGTTTATAACTTTTACACATTCCCCCCTTAGGATTCGTTTCTACAATACCACTTATATTGCGTACATTTTTCGCAATTCAGGCTGGCATTCAGAGAGACGAGGACCTCTTGCAATGGGTATGAGATACCTATCATCGTCGCCCTGTCGAAGAGAATGCCACCATCACCTTTGGCCGCAATACTTCGTGTCAAATAATAGAATATGCTTTTCAAAAATAGAGAGTCTTTTTTTGCAGATGCTCTTAAGAAAAGTAGAACTCATCATTATTTGCTATTTATTTGTTTTATCTTTAATCAATGTCGAATACTACCCTTAACAAGTCTCGCAAGATAGTGACTCGTCTAAAAACATCAATCTTGAAATTTGTATACTAATTTGAGTTTAATGAGCTTTGATACCCTAGGATTTGGAATTTCATCTTCAAATGTTGGCCTTATTAAAATGAGTAGCTCAAATCATATATATTTTTTATTTTTTTCTTCTTTAATTGATGAGAAATGTATCCTTTAATATCATGTTCATTAGTTGGGCTTCTGATGCAAATGCCTTGGACAGGCTCTACATTATTGTGTATTTGGGCCAAACAAATATAGACATTTAATAATTCTTTTGATGAAATAGAGCCTAATTTATTTTATATTTCGTTTAATATGTGAAACTCGACGATCGAAAGTGAAATTTGAAGAAATAAATAAAAATAGATAAAAATGGCAAAATTCAAAATATGGAAACTAAATTGCAACAATAGTTGATTCGAACGACATAATGAAGATTGGAGACAGATGAAATTAGAAGATAAATGACCGAAATTACAAGTGAAAATGACTTCAAAAAAAAAAATCAAGAATCGAATTCAGGAACCAAAATGCAAAATTTGAAAACTTGTATAACTGGGCAACTGTCCAGTCGCCCGACTTGAAAGTTCAAAAACTGTGGCTAAAAATCATGCTTGGGTGAGTGCCCAATTTCCTACTAGGCGATTGCCCAAGCCAAATCTAGCAAAATCGTGTAGTTTCCCTTTTCTTCCAAAATTCTACATGGAAACCACTTTCTTGCACGATTTTTAACGTAATTTCACCTCTGTAAATACTAAATATGGGCAACCAATATCATGTAACTCTCATATATACATCTTATACACCAAAGTTCATGAATGAACATCATCAAAGAGAGGTCAATCCATTAATCTTGTGAGAATTGAAGGGCAATAAAAGTTTTAAAGAAATTGGAGTTTCAACCTCGACATTTAACACGTGTTTATTCTTTGATGAATGTTATAGGATTTAGCCCATGTTTGGTACACATTCTTTCCAAATACATTTTTTCAAAACTCATTTTCAACCACACATTATTCAATAAAAAAATATTTTCCATCACATCAATAATTTTTCTTCACTTTTTAACCATATATTTTCCATCATATCACTATTTAAAATACATTATTTTCTCAATAATATCCATCAAACACACACTTACTAACTTTTCAATTACTTGATCGCTAATTGAATTAATTTGAATTGTATTGATTTTGAGAGAAACAATAGGATATATAACAATTTATAACAATTATTGTAAAGTCTATAGATGTTCTAGTATTTTTAACGCATGCTTTCATGTTCGTATATTTCATAGAGATATAAAAAATGTCATAAAATGATAGATTTAATTGACATCGAGAGATGCTTTTAACTAACTTAAGTACATTGATGAACAAAAATGAGCACATATTGTCATGTTACTGATTTGCATTAAAAGTTATGAATAAGGGGATTTAAGGTCTTAGTCGTATCACATCTAAATTTACAAAAACTTCATAAATTGATCACTATAATAATTAGTTTAATTAGATAATTTAGTATAAAATCATTCAAACACGATTTGCTATTCGATTAAGGTTAGGATTAATTAAGTCTAATTTAAGTACATAGTCCTCGTGGGAACAATATTTTACTCTTAACTTTATTACTTGTTCGTGATACCATAACTCGCGGGAAATCAAACAATCGTTGTGCTTGAAAATCTGAGATAAATTTTTATGTGAATAACTCGGGCTAGCTAATAAATTCTGGTGCTTGGAAATGTTATACCTCAAAAGACCGTAACCTTAAATGAAGAATGCAAGAATGACAATGCAACAGCTTATGAACTTATCCTGAGGAGAATTAAGGATGCACCATCGCAACCCACAAGTGGCTCCTCCACTCACGGCCTGTCCGTGGTGGTGGGAATTTCAACCTCAACAAGCTGAACTACGATGCTACACTTTCTTTCCTGAGACTCGGCTCCTATGGCAACATGAAGGCCTACACTTCATATGCCTTTGTTTAATCCTCATTCTCTAAAAATTAATTTTTTTTCTAAATTCATTTTCAACCATACTTTCTTTTAATAAATTAATTTTGTACGTAAACCTAAAACTTTCACCTACTTTTTAACCACGTATCTCCAAAAAATAACTATTACAAAACATATTTTTGACTAAAACATGGGGCTCAAACACACTATGACAACGTAAGCTAGTTAAGATGAGAGGACAGGTTTGCTTTCTTTTCAAGATATTATATTAGAGAATGTGCATTGCCATCTAAGTGTGGACTATACAGACTATGCCAAAGGGGTATGTAGGGTGGCGTGTTTGAGTCCGAATGGACTTTTGGGGTGGAGCGAATGCTGCAAGCCACCGCAGATGGGAGGTGCCAGGGGCAGAACTAAGGTGGATTACTACAAGATGCTTGTAGCAATAATTGACTTTGATATTGGCTAATTATATTCGTACCACGTTTTTTATTTTGTAGCACATTTTAATATCACTAAAGGTCCTAATCTTTTATAATTGTAATACTTGTATTCCGAACTTTTTTAGTCGAATTCTTTTCCTCAACGTTCCATTTATAACACATCTGGTAGCAATTTATTTGTCCAAATACTCAGTTTGCATTCTTTGAAGTTAATCCACACTTGTGTACTTAATGTCATTTTTCTCATTTAAAATTTTTTAAAGTTTTTTTATTAGACTTATTGAGCAAACCACTATCAAATATAATATACGCTAATTTAGTGGAAGATTGAATATAAAATGCAACGAGAAAAAAGAGTCATTGTCGTGAAATAGATAGTGCCTTCCAGTACAAATCTTCTCTTGTTATCCGTTACCCAAAAAGGGGTCCCTTCGCATGAAATTAGACCAAAAGCGTGTTTCGATCAATAATAGTCGCAAACCCACTTGTTATTATTATTTTAAAGAGGGCAGATCTACTTTGACCACAATTTTTCTTTGACCAAGATTGCATTGCACGTGTAATTACTTACAAATGACAAGTTGCAAAGAGTATAATATTGTTATTCTTCTCTATATATAGAATGTTGGGGCAGGACACCAATGCATTATCAACTTATAAGATGTCTTCTTCTTGCTTATTTGCTCTTTTCTTGCTCATTGCATTTTCTTTCATTGCTCAAGCTGTTGTTCCTGATTCAGAAACCTTCAAGTTTGTCAATAAAGGTGAATTTGGAGATTACATAGTTGAATACAATGCCTATTACCGAGTTATGCCGGTTTCAAGTAGTCCTTTTCAACTTTGTTTTTATAACACGACGCTCGGTGCTTATACATTAGCTTTACGGATGGGTACTGTGCATTCTGAATCACTTATGCGATGGGTTTGGGAGGCCAATCGTGGAAGCCCTGTTGGGGAAAATGCCACGTTCTCCTTGGGCACCGATGGGAACCTAGTTTTGGCCAATGCCAATGGTCGTATTGCATGGCAATCCAGGACGGCGAACAAGGGCGTTGTTGGGTTCAAGTTGTTACCAAATGGTAACATGGTTCTCTATGACTCCAAGGGAAACTTTGTATGGCAAAGTTTTGATTCTCCTACAGACACTTTGTTGGTGGGTCAATCTCTTCGGGTAGGAGGCCCAAACAAGCTCGTCAGTCGGGTCTCTGAGAAAGAGAATGAGGATGGGCCATACAGTTTGTTATTGGAACCCAAACGATTTGCTATGTATTACAAGAATAACATTACACCAGCTCCCATGCTATATTTTGACTCTGAAGATTATCTCTCGATTGGACGAAGCACTCTAAAGTCTTTAAAATTCGATTGTGACCCAGAGACGGAGGAAGCTTACGCGTATGTACTAAAACTAGATTATCCGAACGGAGGGGCTCGATATATATCTAGGCCTAAATACAACAGTACATTAACATATCTTCGATTGGGGATCGATGGTACCCTAAAAGCCTACACGTTCTATGACAAGGCAGACTACAGTGCATGGGAGGTGACTTTCACACTCTTCTCTAGAGAGACCGGTGACGAATGCCAATTGCCGGAGAGGTGCGGAAAGTTCGGACTATGCGAGGAGAGCCAATGCGTTGCATGTCCATTGCCAAATGGGCTAATGGGATGGAGCAAGAATTGTGAGCCTCCAAAGATAACAGCTTGCAAAGCAAATGATATTAAGTTCTACAAATTGGAAGGGGTAGACCATTTCATAACCAAGTATACAAGAGGAAATGGGCCAATGTCAGAGGGCCAGTGCTCAAATAAATGTACCACAGATTGCAAGTGTGTGGGCTATTTCTATCACCAAACTGAGTCTAGGTGTTGGATTGTCTACGACTTGAAGACACTAACCAAAGTTGCAAATTCAACACATTTGGGATATATAAAGGCACCCATTGTATGAGAACAAGACTGATGGGTTTCATTATGTTATGCTGTTGTGATCACTATTTTGCTCTGAACCTGTTACTCAAGCACACGCTTTATGAATAAATTCGTTTGATCTTATTCCGGTGCGCAATTCATTTAGCATAGATGTAAAATACAATTGTACAAGCCTCTTCCTTCCTCTTTACACATGGAATGAATAGCAAAAAAATCCTAATCCAAATGCTCTCAAAAAGTAAGGAATATGCCTTACTAAACACATTGTAGTCATTCAAATACCGATGGGTTAGTATGTTAGTGTGCACTAATGCCTATATGACATGTTGATTAGGTAGTAGACGTGCAAACGGGCGTGATAAAATTGTTGGCATGGCCTTTGTTAAGATCCTGTCTTTTGATATCAGCTCCTATGAGACAAAGCTTCGACTCCAGATTCTCATAACCTCGATCAATATGTGAAATTCCATTAATTTCTGTAATTCCTTCTGAAGCTAACCCGGCTAAAACCAATGACGTTCCGCCTCTTAAATCAGTAGCAGTGACACGACTCCCAGAAAAGTGACTGCCAAAAGACAATTAGTGACCATAAAACTTCAGTATATTTTTTATTGTATGAATGTGCATAGAAGAAGGGGTGCTTTATGATTAGTTAAAGGAACAGAGAACTAACCTTCCCTTTTCTTTGCCAAAAACCAATGCAGTACTTCCACAAACCTCAATTTTGGCTCCAAACTTCTGTAATTCTCTTACTGAAAATGAGAGATCCAAAATGAAACATCAGCAGGTCAAAGATAGACCCAACTTTACTTGCATCAAATGATGTGTTAACAGACAAGGATGCACAGTATGCTGACAAGTTTAACTTGTCAACCTGACGTCCTGAGAGCCGTTCATCAGTTCATGCAGAACAATTTTGATGAAAACCTCCATAGATTAATTCTAAAAGTATAGTAGCAATTATGTGTATGCAGCTGATGCTGAAAAGAAAATGGAAGGCAAATAATCACTGAATGATTCGCATCACTGAGTTAACACGTACCATGACCCATGTGATTTTCAAACACAGATTCTTCTATAATGCTTGAGCCACTACATGTTGAAAGCAAAGCCATTGTCTGGGGTTGGAGATCTGTTGGGAATCCTGGGTACGGTTGGGTTCTAAAATTGAAGCCTCGCAAGTCATCCCCCCTACTTGCAGGGATTGCAGAAAGCTGGAGTACCAAATCCATTAATGATCAGAATTCATGCATGTTGTGTGTGTGTGTGTGTGTTGGTGGGGGTGGGGTGAGGGAGAAACTCCACAAATGTTTATATACCTGCAGATTGTTATGGCTGAATAATATTTTGCAGCCAGCACCTGGAGCTTTTCTAACAAGCCAGATAAACTGCAAGGAAAGACAGGTGATAGAGAGAAGCAGGATCGAGTAATTGCAGCAGCAAGTATGAAGGTGCCCGTTTCGATTCTGTCTGGCATTGTGCCATATTCAGAACCATGTAACTGATTTTTTCCACAGATATAAATCTTGTCTGATCCTGCATCATTTATACATGCCCCACTTTCTGTCAGGAAATGAGCAAGTTCAATTATTTCTGGTTCCTGGGCAGAAATTTCACAGTACTGACACAATGGCTACCTCCGTTAGGTGTTTGGTGTGGATTAAAATCTGATTTTTAGTGGATTGTAATAGAAATTTTTGAAATGTGTGGTTGAAAAGATGTGGACTCATGAAAGATGTGACTGATATTGATTGTTTAACTTTGACTTAGATTAAAATCAGATTTTAATTCGGCCCAAAAATCAGTATTATCTGGTAATCATTCAGTTTATTCATCAGAAGGGAAGCATTAGTTACAAGTGAATATATCTGTGTGATTATATTTATCATACTTGAGCAACATTTGAGAGCAAGGTCTTCCCCTCAGCCATGCAAGCTGCCATCATTAAGGTTGCAGTTGCCCCCACGCTAGGGTAATCGAGGTAAAACCTCCCACCAACCAACCCTTTCCCATTTGCTCGCACTTTTCCGTCCCTGCAATGAATTGCACCGATTTATCATTTATGGACATGTGACAAACATTTGCAATCAGACGTACCAATAAATTGTTCTGGTATGACAAGCAAATTTACTTGCGGGCTCTCAAAAAGACATCATTTATTATTGCAACTTTTGAGAAACATATTCCACCATGCAAGAGAAAACATCATTCCTCTAATCCTATGCATAACAGGTATACTTTCTGTTATTATTCCATTGGATGTTAGTATAAGTTGCACCATTTTCCCCCCATTTTGACCATAAAAGGTCGGGAATTGAAACAACTCGTGAATTTATAGTGTTTTACTTAATTCTTCACACACACAAACACACATCAATTTTGTATTGGAAAAGTTGATATTGATTTTGATAATATGACATTAAAGCTGTTCATAAAGTTAATATCATGGTTTCAATTCTGATGCAAAATAGCAGGCTATCTAACGTAAACTTTTGCATATTTGTGTGTTTGTTCTAAGTGAGGTTATGATTTTGTTTAAGAACAAACAAATGTTTATATTTGGGGGTGTTTGATAAATGTACGTTATACACTTAATTGAGCCTAAAAATATATGTATTTAATAGTTCTTTTGATGCAATATAGCTTAATTTATTGTATATTTCGTTTAATAGATGAAACTCGATGATCGAAAGTGGAATTTGAAGAAATAAGAGAAAAATAGAGAGAAAATGGCGAAATCCAAAGTATGAGGACTAAATTGAAACATTTCAATAGTTAATTCGGACCACAAAATGAAAATTGAAGATGTTGTGGATCAATTGGATGAAATTAGAAGTTAAATGATTGAATTAAAAGAGAAATGACTTAAAAGAATCAAGAATCAAATTCAAGTACCAAAATGCAAAGTTTAGAAACTTGTATAACTGGGTGACTACCTAGTCGCCAGGCTCGAAAGTTAAAAAAATAGTGGCTAAAAATCTTGCCTGCCTGTGCGAGTGCCCAATTTCCTACTGGGCAACTGCCCAAGCCAAATCTAGCAAAATCGTGTTGTTTCCTTTTTTTTTCTTCCAAAATTCTACATAGAAATCACTTCCTTGCACGATTTTTGACCTACTTCACCTTTATAAAATACTAAACATGGGCAGCCAATATCATGGACCTTTCACATATACATCTCATACACCAAAATTCATTAATGAATATCATCAAAAAGAGGCCAATCTATTGTTCTTATGAGTTAAAGAGCAATTACAAATTTTCAAGAAATTGGAGTTTCAACCTTGATTTTTAAAGATCCATCTTCTTCTCCTTCATCAAACTAAAATTCGGATTATGTTCTTTCAATTAAACATGTTTTCTTGTGATTTTGTAATATTAGACTAGGATTTTAATTTGACCTTAAATGTATTTATTCTTGAATGATTGTTATAAGATTTAATGATTTTTCAATTATTTAATCACTAATTGGATTAATTTTGAATTTTATTGATTTTGAGAGGAACAATATGATATATAGCACTTTATAACGATTATTGTAAACTTCAATAAAGGATAGAAATATATTGCTATACTTTGCATGATTTCTATAGATGTTCTAGTATTTTTAATGTATGATTTCATGTTCGTATCTTTCATAGAGATGTAGAAATGTCACGTGAAATGATTGATTTAATTAACATTGAGAAATGCTTTTAACTAACTTAGGTATATTGATCAACAAAAAATGAGCACATATTGTCATGTTCCTGATTTGCATTGAAAGTTATTAATAAGGGGGATTTAAGGTCTTAGTATCACATCTAAATTTACAAAAACTTTATAAATTGCTCAATGGAATAATTAGTTCAATTAGATCATTTAGTATAAAATCATTCAAACACAATTTGCTATTCGATTAAAGTTATGATTAATTAAGTCTAATTTAAGTGCATAGTTCTCGTCAGAGCGATACTTTACTTTTCACTTTATTACTTGTCCGTGATACCATAACTCTTGCGGGATATTAAATTCATTTTCAACCATACATTCTTTTAATAAATTAATTTTGTACGTAAACCTAAAACTTTCACTTACTTTTTAACCACACATCTCCAAAAAATAACTATTACAAAACATATTTTTGACTAAAACATGGGGCTCAAGCACACTATGACAAAGTAAGCTACTTGAGATGAGAGGACCGTTTTGATTTCTTGAAGGACCGTTTTGATTTCTTTTCAAGATATTATGTTAGAGAATGTGCATAGCCATCTAAGTGTGGACTATACGGACTATGCCAAAGGGGTATGTAGGTAGAGTTGTCAATGAATTGGATTTTGATCCGAATCCGATCCGAATTCGATGAAATTAATGGGAGATGGATTTAGGATCTTAGTACGATAACCCGATCAAGATTCGAATCCGATAATCCGTTAACTAAATTGATCAAATATGAATATAGGTCAATAGATAACCCGATCAAGATTCGAATCCGATAATCTGTTAACTAAATGGATCAAATATGGATATAGGTCAATCCGATCCGATAACAATCCGATCCGATTTGTTATAAATAATTGAGTCGATAAAATATTTTTATGACATATTATTTGTGACTAAAATAAATAAATGAGAAATTAAATAAATTTAGAATAAAAAAGTTATCAAATTCAAAACATAAAGTAGTTGAAAATTTTATAATTATTAAACTCGTTTAAAAATTTGAAAAATTGGAAAAACAATAATAAAAAAAGTTGATTCCAACATTATTTTTTTCCTAATTTCTTTAATTTCGGATCGGATTATCGGATCAGATATCCGATAACATAGCAAAACGGATATGGATTTAATAATCAAATACTCGTTGGATTATCAGATTGGATTAGATATAGGCAGGTCCGGTCCACATCCGATTCATTTACAGCCTTATATGTAAGTGGTGTGTCTGAGCCCGAATGGACTTTTGGGGTGGAGCGAATGTTGCAAGCCATCGCAGCTGGGACGGTGCCAGGGCAGAACGAAGGTGGATTACTACAAGATTCTTGGCGTGGAGAACTTTTTCAGCCCCATTTTGGAAGTGGAAGGCTCGATCTCGAAGAAGATTGAACAATGTAGAGAGAAATGCACAAATGATTGTTAGTGCAAAAGTTTTTTTTACATTGAAGAGAGTTCAAAGTGTTCGATTGCACTTATTACCACTCTCGTAAAAGATGTGAATTGCTCAATTGGATACATCAAATATTAAAAGTAGGGAAGGGCTAAATCACTTGTCATGTAATTGGTTTAAACTAATATTAATGAATAATAGTTTCTCAATATTATTTATCACTAGCTATTTATTTATTTATTTTTATTTTTTTGGTTTAATTAAACACTTAATTTATTTCTTTTTATGAACTTTTGTTTGTAGCACTAATTGACTTTAATATTGACACGACCCGTCTCAAGTCATCCTAATAGACCCGACACGTGTCGTGCGCCGATTGTAGATACCAGCTAAGTGCCGAACCCACCACCAAGACGACTATGACATGTTCTAACTGTGACACACTTATATAAAATTTTTGACAGAATTTCCCCAGTAATATTGACTAAAACTGCCTGAACAACAATCAATATTCTCAAACTAATACATATAATTTAAAACAGGGTACTCCAGCCCCTCACAACTCAAACTATTCACAATACAATACTGGAAAGTCGACTTTTACAAATAGTTAACATACAAAAGTCTCAAATGTACTCAAAATACTCAATATGCAGTGAGCTCATGCTATGGATACGTGAATTACAATCTAACTTTTCTGACAACACATGCATGTATCCCAGAAGAAATATATACTGGGTAAATTGACAAAATGAGTCATACAAATATAGACAAGGGTGGCTCAACTAGATGGAGCAACAGGCTCCGATGCAGCTCAACTCAACTATTATCTGATAAGAAAAGAGGTGACAAAATATATGAGCTTGTAACTCAGTGAATGGATTGTTTAAAGATAAGTATATACTTTTCTTCCATTTATACATATTTTCTGAAAATTCTTACTCTTTTGAAATTTTGAGAAATTTTGAAATCTGATGATACTCATAAAAACTTAAACATGATTAAATCATAAAATCCATCATTCTTCATTCTAAACCAATAACTATAAAATATATCGAAAATATTTAATCTGATATCTCCGAAACTCTTTGAAATATTTTTGTAGTTTAATACTATAAGTTGAAATCTTTAAACTAAAAACTGACTAATCTGAATTCTATAACTGCAAATCAAATAAACTGTAGAAATACTGAAATATCACACCAAAAAGGTACCCTGAATAACCTTGCTCATGTGTCGATAAGTAACAATATACATGACAAAGCTATTAAATTCTGAAATTCTGTAATTCTGAAATTCTGTAATTCTGGTCATACGCGCGCAAAGCTATAATCTGGTCATACACTATGGAAACACATTCACAATAGTGCAGAGCGGGTAAAATCACCATAATTGATCATACACTGTGGAAACACATTCACACTAGTGCAGATCGGGTAAAATAATTATATAATGTCATACACTGTGGAAACACATTCGCACCAGTGCAGACTGTAGTAAAATCATCTGGATACTTTCTGGTGGTTTTAAAATAACTCCAAATATACTAAAATATGTAATATGAATATAACATGCTAGAAAAATGATTTCAATGAACAGAATTTAACTTTAAAAGAATTGAGTATAAAATCCATTTGATCCTGAAAAACATGTTGTTAAACCAGTTATATAAAATAATTAACTTTCTAATATGATATAAATTAAATAATTATTTGTTTCTGAAAAATAAGCTTTTCCACTCACAAGTACAAGCTACAAGCTAGACTAGCTGATAAACATTTTCAATATCCTCGTCGTCACCTGAAATACCATACAAGATAACTAATTCAACCACTATCAAGTCAAGAAACCTCTAATATGCAATGTTATAATACTTCAACTAAATTTCTCGATACTTGAATAAATGTCCCAAATTATTCTTTTAATCAAATGGGACCAATTACACTTTTTAGTCTATTTACTAATAATTAATTCATCAACATAACCTTTCATCCAAGAATAAATGCAAATATCCACTTCAATCTAGTGAAACTAGCAACCAACACCACAACCAGTTTAAATTACATACAGATCTATAAAATCATGCTATCTTGTAAGTATTTCATCAACACTATAATTCCCACTAACAATACTTATTCAAGCATCCAACTAAAAATCTAGGGTTTGCCCAAAAATAGCATTTCTTACCTTGGTTC